GGAAGGAATAACATCGAATTCAGCAAGGGAGCAGCGCTTTAGGCACACGCAGTAGATATTTTTGAGTGATTTCCCCACATGTTGATAGTTCCCCATAAATCAGGTTTCCTATTGTAGAACTATTACAATTCCATTTTCTATTCTTCATTGCTCTTGAATCTAGTTACATGATCTGCCGTACAGCTATGCCTCCCCGGTTGGATTGACTCGGTCTTGCTCTGAGATGTCCCTCCGTATATCTTCTTTTCAAAGTTTCCAACACATTCTCCATCCTTCTTAATTAGTACCACTGCTTTATATTTAGTTACAAAATTATAATTCAGAAAGTAGCTCTGTGCCTTTTACATTCAGGAGCGTGGAAGAGCTTTGGAATTCGTGACTTATGGGAGCTGGAGCCATGTGTGTGCTTAAATACTACCCGGGGTGATGAAGAGGGGTAGGAAATGAGGGGCTGGGGGAGGAACCCCGGAGAACACCAATGTTTTTAAAGAGCTTGGCATGGAAAGAAAAGGAATACCTAGGAGAAAACAGTCATGTATGTCAGCTGGAGCACAGAGGCAGAGCGTTCTGAGGTCTTCATTAGACTTAGCAACTGGAAGCTCTTTGGTGATTTTTATGAATAAAAATGTAATGAGAAAAACCCACGGTGCATCGGATGTAAACCAACATGCAGCATCAGGTAAAGGTGGTGTGATGGTTGGTTTTAAATATCATCTTGCCACAGGTCAGAATTACCTGCGCAGGGATCCTCAGCTGAAGGATGTCCATATCAGGGTGGTCTGTGGCAGGGTCTGGGGGGAATTGTCTTGATTGTTAATGGATGTGGGAAGATTCAGCCCACTGTGGGCAGCATTAGTCTTTGGGCAGGTGCTTCTGAGCTGCATAAGAAAGCTAGCTAATCATGAACCTGAGCAATTCAGCAAGCAGTGTTCTTTCAGGGTTTCTGCTTGAGATCCTGCCCTGATGTCCCCCAATGTTAACCAGTGGCCTGGAAGTAGAAGCCAAACAGACCCATTCCTCTCACGTTATTTTTGTGAATTTTATTGTTTTTACTGTCCTCTCTTGGATTTTAGTGAGATTCTGAGAACGAAGTTATAGGAGTTCTCACCATCTGTTCCAGTGAACTCCGACCATGTTGTTCAGTGCCTCTCACCTGAGAAGGGCACAGAGAGTCACTTCCCTTGTCTTTACTTTAGCTGGATCACATGGCTTCAGTCTGCAGCTCCTGGCTAGCTGACCACAGGCGGGTAGAAAATGCTTGCTCATGAATGCTGCTGAGATTCCATGATGGCTTCAGTAGTTGACTGATACTGTTGGTTGATACTGTTCTGCTCCTGAGCAGTTAGTGAACCAGTTTTTGACTCCAGCTTGGCTTAATGCTCCAGGTGACACCATCTGCAGGAGGTACTATAAGAGATGGGCTAACGCCAGCTGTGCCTAAGCTCTGAAAGACCCCTTCTCTGTATTTCTTCTCTAGGAGATTCTCAGCAAATTGCTGGAGGGATGTCTGTGCTGAATTTCACTGTTTGAGCAATTTCCATGGAATGAATTAATGGAGGAGGGAGGAGCCATTTGCTTCCTGGAGTGTGAAAGGCAGTATTGTGAATTTGACTTCCCTGTGTGGCTAGGGATTCAGAGGCTCTGGGGCAGGCATAGATCTTAATGAGATCGTGTGTGTGTGTGTGTGTGTGTGTGTGTGTGTGTCCTAAGACTCTGGCCTCTGATGAACCTCACAATAAGCATAAACAACATAGCCCTCATCTAAGGCTTAGTTTGTGAAACTGATGCAGGTCACAGCACTGTCTTCCAAAAGCTATGCACGCTCTGTCAATGAATGGTATTAAATACATTTGTGTGGGAAGAAACCCTGGACTCATATTAACTAGGCTAACTAACTAAAGTGGAACTAAACAAGGCTCTGTCTGACCCCTCAGTATTGTATATTTATTTCCTATTTTAGTGATTTGTGATATTAGTGAATATCTTTATTTCTACATTCATAAAAGAAACACTACTAAAGCTTAAAACGCACATCAAACCCCACACATTAGTAGTGGGAGATTTCAACACACCACTCTCACCAAAAGACAGATCTACCAGACTGAAACTTAACAAAGAAATAAAGGACCTAACATGTTATGACTCAAATTGACTTAATAGATATCTACAGAACATTCCATCCTAACACAAAAGAATATACCTTCTTCTCAGCACCCCATGGAACCTTCTCAAAAATTGACCACATGCTTGGTCACAAAACAAATCTCAACAGATACAAAAACACTGGAATAACCTCCTGTATCTTATGAGACCACCATGCATTAAAGTTAGACTTCAACAACAACAAAAATTATAGAAAGCCTACAATCTCACGGAAACTGAATAATGCCCACCTGAAACATTAATGGGTCAAGGAAGAAGTAAAGAAAGAAATTAAAGATTTCCTAGAATTCAGTGAAAATGAAAGTATAACATACCCAAACTTATGGGACACTATGAAAGCAGTGCTAGAGGAAAATTCATGGCTCTAAATGCACACATAAAGAAGATGGAGAAATCTCATACCAATGAATTAAAAGCACAACTGAAAGCTCTATAACAAAAAGAAACAAACTCACCCAGGAGAAATAGACACTAGGAAATAATCAAATTGAGGGCTGAAATCTACTTTAGATATAGTATATTTTCCCTCATTAAAATTATTATTTATTTTTAGTGTGCATGGGTATTTTGCCTGTATGAATGTCATGAACCACATGTATGTCTAGTGTATGCAGATGCCAGAAGAAGATGTGGAATCTCTTGGAACCTGGGCTATGGATGCTGTGAGCTGCCACATAGGCACTGGGATTGGGCCTGGATACTTAGGAAGAGCAGCAAGTGCTCTTACCTGCCTCCCTTTTCTCTCATTTTTAAGGTGGAGGCCTAGCTCTATGTTCAACCTTCTCTCTTGTACAAAATGAAGATTCAAGGCTCTAGATTTCCTCTTTACATGGCTATGGACTCTACTCACATGGTTTTCTGTGCAGGGCTTTCTTTATTTCATGTTATAATGTATGTTCTACTTGTAATCATTCACTTTTCTTCAGTTCTTGTCTTATTTAGAAACATACCACCTAATTTCAGGACAAGTGAAATTATTTTGTTTCATTTGGGGAGGGACTTGTTGTCTCAACTAAATGAAGACTAGAAAAAATGTGTCACATATGATGCTAATGATTTGAGTAAATCAGTCTGATTTATGTCTTAGCACATAGTATTTACATAACTTCTATATGTACTTACAGGAAGTATGTATTTTGTGGTATTCTGTATATGCTTATTAAAATATTTTATCTAAATATTGATGCCTTTACTTCTTCATACATCAGCAATTAAGATAAGTATATAAAATTTTCAACTAGGAGAGTAAAATTGTTTTTCTTTGAAGTTCTTAAACTTTTCCTTTGTATATTTTGATAAGTTTATATAATCTAGAATTTTTATCTTCCCAGTAGGTCTTGTTTTTAATCCTAAGATAGATACTAGATAATCCTCCTATATAACATTGACTTCACCACTTCCCAAAGTCAGGTATATGACACTGAACACACTTCCTGGGACTTAGTTTTCTTTCTTTGTTGCCTTCATCAAGGCAACATTTACAACTGTGGTCTTTCCAAAAATCAGATTTACTTTATTTATTTTATGTGTATGGATTTTTGCCTGCATGTATGTCTGCATACCGTGTGTGTGCCTGGTGCACACAGAAGTCATAGGAGGGCATTGGGTCCCCAGGAGCCTGAGTTACAGCTGACTGTGAGCTGCCATGTGGGTACTGAGAATTGGGCCTGGGTTATCTGGGAGAGCAACAAGTGCTCTTAACCACTGAAGCCATCTCTCCAGTCTGCTCGATACAACTGTGATAGTTGACCCTTTTTTTTGCCTTTATGGGCTTCAGAATATTTCAGAAGTAACACTGATTTGCAAAAAGTGATGAAATTGCAGCATAATGAAGATATTACTATAACTTCCTCCCGCTAAGCACTGACCAATATAGATCATTTTTAAGTGGTGGGAATCAATGTCTTGCTTAGTTTTGTTAGGTTTATATAGGGATAGCTCATGCAAAGATAAAGGAATAGAGTAAGAAATCTCTAATGACTTCCAGGAACTAAACAAAAGTACATGGGAGCAACTTTTAAAATGAAGTGCAGGTTCCTATTATGATACACAATGCTGGGAGATTATTTTCTTCCAGATCTTTCTCCTTTGATGGAGACCCTAGTGCTTGTGTACCATGTGATCTCACTTCTGGCCTGTCAAAGAATGGAGGTTGCAGACCATTGAATCAAATATGGTCAAGGGAATATGGAAGTGGGATTCAACATTAGGTAATGTTTCTTGAACTGGGAAGGCAAATGAACATGAAGAATGAGGCTGACTTTCTGGTCTAGCTATCCTGTCTTATGAGAAAAGCAAGGGCCATTTTCAGATGAAAGAAGGGGGCAGAGTTTACAGAGGTGGAGTGTGCCATTCTGGTGAGAGAGGCGATCTGAGGTTCTCAGTATTGGCAGGAATATGCTTCTGGTCAGCCATTCCCAGTGTCTCTTTGGGTTATTACAGATACTCCTGGGCCCTTGAAGGAGACTCCCCTTTCTGATTATGGTCACTTTGAATAGGTTTTTGTCCTTACTGGTCTAAAATGCCATTTCATACTTCAGCAAGATAGCAGTGGCATAGTCCATCCCTAGGCTGTGGTTTGTAGTATCTGAAGCCTTTGAAGGGGTCCTTTCTAGGGGAGAGGCCTTAAATACAGGCTGACAGGTGGGTTTAACATATACCATGTTGTATTCCCATAGAAATCATGAGGAATGTCAGTTCAAATTGTATGGGGTGCTGGACGGGTTTATTGAGCCTTCAGGAAGCTAATCAACTCTCAGAGAACATTCTCATAGTTAGGTATAGCAATGGTCGGAGCCCACATTTTATTTATATGATGATCAAATCCACAGTGACTTCTAATATGTTTCCTCTGATGTTCCACAGAAGGATAGCTGTATAATCCAGAGTATGCTAGCATTGTAGCACTTCCGTGAGTAGAAAGGCTGGCTTGGTCCTGGTGTAAACAAAAGTCTGGATCAGTGGCTATCCTGGGACTCTTCGGGGACTATGCGGGAGTGTCACATAATTTCCAAGGTACATACTAACTTCAAGATCTCTCTCTCTTTTTCTCCGCTCTCCTCTTTCTGTCTCTTTGTTTGTGTCTGTCTGTCTGTCTGTCTGTCTGTCTCTGTCTCTCTCTCTTTCCCCACTTCGGAGATCTGGAAACTTACGGTTACATTAGGTTCTTACCTTGTGGATACTGTTCTTTGAATGCTAAGAAGTAAGTATTGGAGTGACAGGGAGTCAATAGGTGTTATTGGCAGTCTCCTTTCATTTAGCCGTCCATGTTTTTTGTGCTTTCTTTTGAACATGTGGAGTTTATTCTACACCCAACCCGCCCAAGAAAGACAGGATTCTGTGTTTAAACATAGAACCTGAGCCAAATGCTTGGATTAACCTTAACAAAGGCTTTGTGACATTTCTCTGTGTCTCAGTTTCCATTAAGTAGGACTCAGAGTAGAGCCTGGAGATTCTACTAAGATTGCTTCCGGGAACTTATGAACTAATACATCTGAAACATTCACTATCAAGTGTCCGCTGTGATGATCAACCCACCAGGATTACTACCATCTGTGGTCACACTTTAGAGAGCCTGGCAGACTCCTTCCTCAGCACTGACTTGGGGTGAACAGCATCAAGGGGTACACACCTGGAATCTCCTCAGCTACATAGGTTGGGATGCCCCGGCACATGCCGGCAATCTTTGTCCCAAATGTACTCAGGTCCTCCACTCTGGTAGGGTTGATAGAGAACATCAATTCCTTGGGAGATGCTCCTTCAGGCCTTTTACCCTAAAGTCGAGTGTGACGAGGAAAGAAAGAAAATAAATGAGTCCTGAGTCCAGGGGCTTGCTGATCTAAAGGGGTACAAGGGCAGTAGGGCATTTCTTGGCTGCCATTTTTTTTCTAACCAAAGTGAAGAGACAATTCTAGCTTTGAATGTCTTGGTATTTCTAAGTGTCCCAAGGGACTTAGATGGTTTGAAATCTCAGTTGCTCATAGAAACAGAAGTCTGAGGCAAAATTTATCCTGAAATCTGAAGCACAACTGCTTGCTGTGGGATGGTCTGTATGTCAAGTGTGTTGCTGATTGGTCAATAAATAAATCACTGATTGGCCAGTGGCTAGGCAGGAAGTATAGGCGGGACAAGGAGGAGAATAAAGCTGGGAAGTGGAAGGCTGAGTGAGAGAGACACTGCCAGCCGCCACGATGACAAACAGCATGTGAAGATGCCGGTAAGCCATGAGCCATGTGGCAAGGTATAGATTAATAGAAATGGATTAATTTAAGCTGTAAGAACAGTTAGCAAGAAGCCTGCCACGGCCATACAGTTTGTAACCAATATAAGTCTCTGTGTTTACTTGGTCGGGTCTGAGTGGCTGTGGGACTGGCAGGTGACAAAGATTTGTCCTGACTGTGGGCCAGGCAGGAAAACTCTAGCTACAACTGCTCTCTTAGATTCTAGGGTAGGGCTAGTGATAACTTTTGAGAATGGAACTTATTTACATTCTCTCTATATATAGATACCAATTTATCGTTATAGATACCAATGTATCACTTAGAAGACTAACTCAGGCATCTGTGAAAACCATGGATTCCCTCTTTACCTCTACTACAGCTATGGTTGACAGGATACAGGACACTTGATTACATTTGATTGTCAAGCAAGCAACAAATCCTTTTAATGTTAAAAATATCTCAAACCTTGTCTAGGACATACTTAGACTTTAAAAATGATTTCTTCTTATCTTAAAATCCAGCTTAACTAGGCAGTCTCTATGTTTGCTAGTTTTGATAACCTTAACTACCGAAGGAGTGTGTCCTTGAGGTACTGAGGGCTTGCACTGAGGTGTGCAGATCTTTGGACCTCTGACACTCAGGGTGGGCAGTGTTTTGCTCACCCCCACAGAGGCGGTTGTGAGCCACAGAATCTGATAGAGTGGAAGCTACCCTGACTCAGGCAGTCACCTAGCATTCTCTACACCGTGCCATTTACCCCGACAAACATGCTGGTGTGTTGTGCAAAGAAGGAATGGGTATGACTTCATTATTTACTGGAGACCGGAAGACCTCTCACTCCAAATGAAAAGGCTCGCCTTTACCTTTTGCTCCTTGACCAGTGCTTCGAGGTCTTGAAGGGAGGGCATGACGTCCTTGTTCATTTTGTGCACAATACATGATTTCTTGGCAAAGAGTCTGGTTGCAGCAAAACTCTGTTAAAGAAGAGAGAAGGCAGTGAGGCGCAGGGAAATGGAACTCTAAGATCATAAGGATCTGGGATGAGTGCTCTGGATCTGGCTGTCCTGCAGTTGTGCCTGTGGTTAACACACAGAGGTGGCCCGCAAGCTCTTAGAGGGCGGAAATAGGGATCTAACCCCCTGCCTTGGCTTCAGCTCTAGCATGGTAGGAGACTCTGTGTGTGTGTGTGTGTGTGTGTGTGTGTGTGTGTGTGTGTGTGTGTGTGTGTGTATGTGTGCGTGTGTGTGCGCGTATGTGGTATGTATGTGTGTGTGTGTATGTGGTATGTGTGTGTGTGTATGTGTATGTGTGTGTGTGTGTGTGTGTGTGTGTGTGTGTTGCCGAAATAACTTCTTAAGGCTTTCAGGTCTTAGTCTACTTCCATCCTTGACGTGTTTTTTTTGGGAGGCAGGGAAGATAGAGTTTGTTTTCCAAAGATACAAGTTGAAACACAAAAGTAGCAATTGCATGGTGGGGTCAGGTGGCCTTAGCTTTCCCTTCTTTCCCAACTAATATTGTCATTCATATTTCACTCGGTCTCTGAGTTAGAGATGAAATATTGGGCCTTTCCCATCATGGAGGCTCTCTGCAGGGAAGGCCAATGGGTCCTTGTATTTGTCTTTGAGCGTAGTTTCCTTATTGCTCATTAGTTTGAATTTTAACCTGTTGTGTAACATTTATTACCAATAGTTAGGTGTAAGAAGTAAAATCGGCTGAGCAACAGGGGTGTTGCTACTGGTACTTATAATGCTCATGGACAGCTAGAATTTACATTAAAGGTTTTAATGGCTGGTGAGTATGCCACATGCTAGTCCTGTGTGTCTAATACCTACACTGTCATAGTCCCAGATGGAATTCCACGAGTCCCAGCCGTTATTGTTGTCGACATTGGCCACATTGTGCTGGTTGTTGATGCTCACTGACTGCTGACCACTTCCGGCTACGTTGCCATTATCGTTGACGTTGATATTCTAAAGTGGATAAGAAATGGAAGCTGATTTAAGATCACATTTTTTTTGTAAATGCACTTTGGTAACTGATTTCAGAAAATGAAACTTACGTAAGCAAATCCAGGTGCCATGAGGAGCCCGAGCAGGCTGACGAAGACCATCTGAAAACACAGAGAACAGGGCCGGTGGGGGGGGTCGCACTGTTTACAGCATCTGCTCCCTCCCTCAAGCTCATCAGAAATATTTACTAATTTTACCAATGTGCCAAACCATCCATGTTTTCTTCTTCCACCTTGTGTTTTTTTTTTTTTTTTTTTTGGTTTTTCGAGACAGGGTTTCTCTGTGTAGCTTTGTGCCTTTCCTGGAACTCACTTGGTAGCCCAGGCTGGCCTCGAACTCACAGAGATCCGCCGGCTTCTGCCTCCCGAGTGCTGGGATTAAAGGCGTGCGCCACCACCGCCCGGCTCCACCTTGTGTTTTTTAACTACAGAAAAATTTAATAATAATATACAGTTGTTGATTTATTATAATTATATTAATATATAGTTTTAGAATTTTGAACTAGACACTGAAAACTGATGAATAAAGCATAAAACTGATGCATACACCATGTAATGAAAGCTCTGAAAACCACATCTTTCAGATGGTTTTCAACTGGTTTTTAATTTGATCTGGGATGCTTTCGTCCTAACAGAAGGAAATCTCTTATCATTTTCTTAGTAGGTTAAGCATTTCTATCATTTTTGTTCAGCTTAAGAAAGAGTTAAAATTTGTCTCTTAAAAAAGTAGATGTAGCCGGGCGGTGGTGGCGCACGCCTTTAATCCCAGCACTCGGGAGGCAGAGCCAGGCGGATCTCTGTGAGTTCGAGGCCAGCCTGGGCTACCAAGTGAGTTCCAGGAAAGGCGCAAAGCTACACAGAGAAACCCTGTCTCGAAAAACCAAAAAAAAAAAAAAAAAAAAAAGTAGATGTAGCAGAAGTGTCTGAGCATAAAGTTATCTCCTGTAAGTAAGGCAGCTACTGAGGAGCACAGGGCCCTAGATCAGTGGTTCTCATCCCGTGGGTTGCGACCCCCAATTTGGGGGTCGAACAACCCTTCCGTAGGGTCGCCTGAGATCACCGGAAAACACAGATATTTACACTACAGTTCATAACAGCAGCAGAATTGTAGTTATGAAGCAGGAATGAAAGTAATTTCATGGTTGGGGGGGTCACCACAGCATGAGGGACTGTATTTAAGGGGCGCAGCATCAGGAAGGTTGAGAAATGTTGCCCTAGACAGAGGCACACAGAACTAGAAGAGAGGTCCAACCCTCTAGCCTGTGTTTGGCGCGCTCCCTGCTTCTATCCAACCTGTTCTGGGGAGGACAGATAGGAAGTGTCCCTGTGATTGCAGCCCCTCTGCATCCTAGGACTTCAGAGGAAAAACAGAGCTTGCTCCATCCTCAGACACTTCCTCAAAGAAATGCCTGGACAGGGCCTGAAGATGCTTATTTCTTGTAGGGCCAGTTGACAGCCAAATGTTGAAGACTGGTTTTGACAACAGGGACTTTCCGGTCTGACCAGAACAGGCCCAGAACTCTTGATAAAGCAGAATCAAAGACAAAAAAAGATCAGATACTTTCTGGAGCCCAGAGACTGCTTGTCCTGAGTAGAATCCCTGAGCAGATGCTGTGGAAGGCAATTCTATTGCAATTAGCTTGTGCTGGACTCTCCTAGTGCAATTATTCTTCTCTATGGACATACTTGTTAGACGCCATTCCATGAGAAGGAAAGAATTATTTCCATTAGGGTAACAGCGCCATAAGAATCAGACCCTTCTCTCACCCCTATTAATGGTTTCCAGTTGGATTGAGTTTTACAGGAAGATCTGACTTACTGTGAACTTCATGTTGTCAGCCGTGTGGTGGAGTGGAGAACAGGCAGGCATGCTTGCAGACATGCAGCCTTCTGGTATTTGTACCTGACCAGTTTTGCTCAAGCTAGGTGTGCTCAGGTGGAGCCCACAGCTTATCTTCCGCCCCTTCCTGTATCTGCACAGCAGCCAAGTCCCCGGAAGCCTTTAGCTGCCTGGCCAGCACGGCGCTTGGACAGGAGGCAACCTGACTCATCACCCGCTGAAGGTACCTCAGTAAACTCAATGTCATCCATGATAAGTTCTGCTCCAATTAAAGCCATGGGTGTGGGTATTTTATGCATTGTCACTGTTCAGATTCAAGAAAAGAGTAATCCCTAAAACCAAACACCACCACAGATGAGATCTGGGTGCATATCTGCCCTTCCAGATACTGGCTCCTATGGGAATGTGTGAACAGTTTCTCTTCCTTCCCATGACTCACAATGGTGTGAGCTTTTCCCAGATCTTTCCTTCCTTACCTCCCCTTTCCTAAGACCCCTGAGCATGCTCAAGTCACGTTGGAAGCTTATTATCAAAACCCACGGGTGAGAGGTGGTGTTCTTGGCTGTGAAAAGGACCTCCGAGTCAGAAAACTGGTCCTTGTGCCCTGGCCAGGTATTTCTTTGAGGAATTGTCTGGCCAGTGCAGCTTTCCACCCAGGTTATGAGTGGCTCGCACCAAAGCCATCTGGCACCATTCACCCGGGGCTCTCAATGGTTACACCAGCCACTGGGTTGGAGCGCTGGGGCTGCTGGCAGCACTTTCTTCCCATCTTCATAGCCAGCAGCTAACCCTTGCCGTTACCTCTCACCAAGGCCTCTCCACTCCGGCCTTGGCCAGGGCACTCCTTAACGGACTTTTACCAGAGCTGTAGGACCAGCTGGCCTCATCCCAGGCCTCTGATATTACAGTGTATGCCCTTCATTTTCCCCAGGGTTCTTTTCCCAGAGCATGGGAAGTAAATAGACATTAATCTCCAGAGCTTAGAAACTTTCACTGGCAGATCTTATGAAAAAGTTCAAGTTTGTTGGAATGGCATCCATGGGAATTCCTAAAAGGGTTCCCAGTTCCCTCAGCTGCCTGTGTCCTGGGTGCCTAGCACACACCAAGGTTCCCACGCTGTCAGACCATTCAAGGCATCCCACGGGCACTCAGCCTCTTCACACTCTGCTGCTTCTCCTGGATTGTCATTTTGCAAACGCTTTTGTTTTTAAGCTCCGCACTGCTGCCTCTACCAGACCTTCCTCATTCTCTGACTGGAAACTTCCTTCATCGTCTCTGGGTGCTATCAGAGAACACTGCCTTCTTATTTGCTTCTAGACAATGACATTTTCAAACATTATATTAAAACAAGGGAAGATGAGGGGGCAGAGACTGTCACCTGGGAAATTGAGGAAATACTCAAAGTAGTTTTGAAGGTGAATTAACACTTGATTTTTTCCCCCTGTTCTCTTCTACAACTGAAGCTCGTGGTTCAAATTTGATAAAGGGGAAAAGTGTGTTTCATTAGTACGGATCCACAGATTTCTACTCTGAAAACCTTCTTGTGCCCACAACCTTCCTCTCCTACATGAGCCAGAACTTAAGGGGCTGTGTGGTTCTAAATCTTGGCTCACTGTCAATATGTCTTCCAGAATGCTGGAATGGCTAGATTAGGACACTCGGTGTGAAAGAGGGTCTGCTGTTTTAATTCATCCTCAGAGCCTGCTGTTTTAATTCATTCTCAAAAGATTTCAAGTTCATTCTTCAACTGTACAAGGTCAAGAAGCCTGGGGCTGGATGTGGGGAGCTGTGGAGAGGTCTTCCTCTGCTTCAGAGACCGTCACAGCTCTGTGGAGGTCAGGGTGTCTGCGTTGGCCATGCTTGTAGATTTGGCCTCTGATGGTGATTTGGGGGTACCTGTTCAATTCCCAGCACACATTTTGTGTTTCATGATTTCCTAAGGACTCAAGGTGACATGTGGATCAGTGAAATGCTGGTGTGGTAGATGCTCGTTACAGGTAATAAATTGATAGTTGATAGACAGATAGACAGATGGACGAAGATGTTCAGGATCTCTCTTTTGGATAAGGACAATTTATATTCACATGACAAATGAGTTAAAAGACCTCTACGTATACATTTTGCACTACATCATTAAGTCCTAGATACAAATAAGAATGGAATCTCATTGCATTCATTATTATTCATTATTTTCCAGGCTCACTTTAGCCTCTGTAAGGATTCATTTCTTGAGGGAAATGCTGCCCCTAGGTTGTACCTTGGATTTGAAAATCTGTGTGGAGAGCTGCTGGTTAGAGCTGAGAGCTAGGAGGCTCAGATCTGCTCCCCACTCCCAGGCTTTCACCTTCCCATGGGTAGAAGAGAAGTAATTCCTCTCACATATGGTATTGTTACTCAACTAGCTTCAAAGCCAGGAGACGCTCTTCCTGTGGTGTGAGTGTAAGGCTACCCAAGGAGATGTCAAATTGGTATCTACCTCCCAACCAGAATGGCACCAGCCACTTAGAAACTCATACAAGTTCATCCCAATGAGCAAAATGGATTTATTAAGGAGTTACTTATGGGCAGTGGATGGCAATGCACAAGCACGATCTCCAGAAGTTACCTCTGCAACCACGTTCCTACTTTACGTCTGCGTCAGAATCAGCGTAAGTCTGGGCTTGGAGTGCTACCCTATGTTGGGACACCAGAGGTGACAGCAGACTCAGACAACACAAGCCAAGGACAAAGCCAGACTCTGGGAAAGTTGTGTGTTTAAGGGTACTCTAGTACAGCCCTTACTGGGGATTCTCGTGGTCTCAGAAAACACTGTCCCACTGTGGCAAAGACAGTCTGTCTTGTTGCAGTCCAGCATGTAGAACACATAAGTGGTAGTTTACTGCATGATGGCATTCCTTTGGCTAGGATTTGGAGGACTGGTCTCACCACTTCTTTTCGTGTGTGCACATGCGTGCGTGCGTGCATGAGTGTGTACACATGTACATGTGTGCATGTGCTCCCCTCAATTCTGGTCTCCTTTAAGACCCAAATCCACAGGAGCAAGGCTCTTGTTTCTTGTCAGCCTGAGAGCTACGCTTTCTGTGGCTTGCATCTCCTCAAGGGAGGAAGGCATTGTCACCTCCATGGGCCTTAGACTGACACATACATGATGCTTACAAGGTGCCTTTAAATTCTTTGAGTAGCCGGACATGGCCAAGCTAGAGACTACAGTGTACGTCACGTCCATCCATTTCTGGTTTGGGGTGTAATCTGGAGAACGGCTGCTGTGTGCTGGCCATGGCGACACAGTGGGGGAGTCTTGGGTGATAGTGTGACCCCAGTACCCTAGGGTTAGTGTGAGCAAGTCAGGTCATGGGTAAATAGAGTCTGCCCTGCCTGCAGAGGTTAATGCTGGGCTTTCCCCCAAGCAAGGCCCTATCCTTACTTATCATCCAGTGCACACACCCATGGCTTCATTTCAGCCCACACCCTGCCACGTGAGACTGAGTGAAAACTCTCTTTGTCTGGAACAATCCAGATGCATTCTGTGTACAGCATGCTCACACATGGAGGAAGAGTTGGAGTTTCACACAGAATCAGGCTTATTGCATGTATTTTTCCCTTCTCTTCGAGTGGAATGTTTACCACCAGGACACATTTCCAATCTTAAATATTCAAGGCTCCCCCTGCTGTGTGAACCAGCTAGTGTTACTAGCAGCCCTGAAGCCTGTAGCTGTCATGTTCTTATTTTCTGGTACTTAGGACGTGTTGCCCAAAATGACAATCCTGTTATGTATTAACTGGGTGAGGAATGGCCCTCATGTAGAAGTTCTATCTCTGTCTCCTTGCTCTGATTGTGTCTCTGTGAAGCTGGCTATCAGTCTGATGGATCCTGTTACAGCTCCAAGTTAGCTGTTGTTTGAAATCTGAGCTCATTTCTTTCTTTTGAAAGAGCTATACTGTGCCTTTGTTTACCTTCTTGTTGCTAAAACTGTAACAGAAGCTCCAGTGCCAACCGCCTTTGTGTTGTAGGATGGTCTACACTCATTGCTCACCCCATTTGTACTTCTGACCAAGAATAACACACCCAGAAAACAGCAACAGGGAAGTGTAAAATAACATTTGAATAATTATTGCTAGAAAGCTTCTAATTCCAGAAGGTCCAAACTTATGACATAGTTGTTTTTGTACAGGAGGGAAATTCTTTCCAAATTACAGCAACGTTGGGGCGGTCTTTCTCGAGACATCTCGAGCTGTTTCTCTTGGGACTGTCACCTTCCAAATACACACAGTTCTACCTCTCAACTGCCGCTTGTTTAAGTCCATCCAGATGCATTTGCCAAACTGTCTGCATCCCTGGAAACCTAGAGGCATGCCTCAAGTTAGTTGTTACCTGGAGTGTTGGAATGCTATACACAGGATTTGGGGAAAAATGCTAAAGAAAGGTCTTCTGAGTAATTTCATCATCTGTATAAAGATAAAGAGAATGTTGGTCAACAGCCTTGTTTTTCATCGTTGTGAAAACCAGCCAAAGCTGGTCATGCACTTAATGATTCTGAAAAGAGGTTTCTAGAAAACATGAGAAGAACAGATACTGCAATGATGAGGGTGTTGTTTGTAACTACCTCTTGGACATTTAGAAACACTATCATGTGGCTCCCTAATCATTCATATTGAAACAGTTTAATGATGACATGTAAAAGAACTCATGAATAAAGTGTGTTCATTCATTCTTAGCCATCAGGCCTAGAGGAATGAGCTTCTCATTGAAAGATGAGTGTCCATTAGGTCTAGAGAACCAGAGCTAGCAGAGCCACAGCCAGAGCCAGGTGTCCCACAGCAATCTGCCTTCTACAGTTCCCTAGTGGAGAGTACAAAGTAAAGGACCACAGCCCTTCATGAACAGTGAGCCATGACTCTGTAAGTCAAGGACAGCCCTTCATGAACAGTGAGCCATGACTCTGTAAGTCAAGGACAGCCCTTCATGAACAGTGAGCCATGACTCTGTAAGT